GTCTGTGAGAACTGCTGTTGGGTATTGAAAACTTGGATGATAGACTTAATAAACTGTATTTCAGAGACTTAAGTCAATCAAAAATTTAGTTGTGATACTGAACACGCAACACTTTTTTTGACAATGGTTACTTGTTTCAGGTACCAAATCAAACTGCTATCGATCTATTGAAATAAGATGATTATTGGTCATGGATCATTATGCGAGTCAAACTCAGGCTTGGTTTTCCATTCCAAATAGGATCTTGTCTTATAGGTATCTCTGCTAGGAGTTCATATGTAATTGGGAAATACTTAAAGCGATTACTTTATGCCTTTACTGACTATCGAGAATCTTTAGTCGTGGTTGCTAAGGTATGTAGTAGGATGAAGACAACCGCAAAACTGACTTAAAACTTACACTCACAACTTTCTTTCAAAATAAATGTAACTTCCACAAAAACAGACAAGACGCAATTATCGAGGGTGTGGGCAAACAGAAGACTCACGTCCACATCCGTACCCATAACCACACTCACGCGCACACGCCCTATTCACACGTCATATTCATATGCACTCTATACCCAAATCACTGCGCACATCTCTTCTGATGCTCACTCGATATTAAATTTTTGTACTCGATGATTTTCGTTTTCGACGACATAGAGATTACCATGTCGATCGAATGATAAACCGATGGGCACATTGAGTTGGTTCGATTGTCCTCCTGCACCGTTTCCACCAACAATGATACTTCCCTGTTTGGCTCCATTGGGCAAACGCATGATTCGATCATTCCCTGCATCAGCTACATAGACAGTGCCCAATTGATCGACAACGACTCCATAAGGACATGACAATTGTGTAAGACCATTTCCTTCTCCTTGACCACCAGCCACGACAATGCCTTGTTTTGCACCTTCCACCCATTTCATCACACGATGATTGTTCCATTCAGACACGTAGACTGAATGATCTCGATCGACGAATACGTAGTATGGGAAGGAGAGTTGATCGAGACGATTTCCACTTCCATTGCCACCTGCAACCACTGTTCCTTGAGATTCTCCTCTTCGATATCGTCTCACTGCATTTGTTCCATAGTCAACGACATAGAGAGATCCATTCTCGTCTATTGTCAAACCCACACAAACGATGTAGGAGATGATTGTTTCTCCACTTGTCCCATTTCGACGAGGCCATCGAACCACTCTTCTATTCAACCAATCGGAGATGATTAGACAATCTCTCTCTTTGTCGACAATCACATCTCGTGGGTTATTCAATTGATGAGCCCCACTTCCTTGTCCATTTCCACCGGCAACCACTCGGCCACTCGTCGCACCCCATTTCCATTCCACAATACGGTGATTGTCTTGATCAGCGACATATATTGTTTGATCTTCATCAACATACAAACCGCATGGGTTTGAGAGTTGATTGATTCCATTTCCATATCCATTTCCTCCAGCAACAGTGAGACCATTCTGTTGCCATCGAGCATTTGGATGAATGTCAATTGAACTTCCACGTAATGGAATCACTGAAATTGAGAGAAACAAGAGAATAAAATGGTAAAATAAAAGAGAAGACAAAGTGAGAGAGCCAGAGAGAGCACTTAGAGAGAAAAAAGTGAAAAGTTCATTTGAATTTTCGCAAAAATCAACATCATTTCAAGTTTCGATTTGTTTTCTCGACATTGTTTTTCTTTTTTATCTCTTCTTTATAACAGAAGCGGATACATAATATATACGC